GGTAGGAGGATTCACCAGAGACAAAGTGTGGAGCAGAACAGGCAGATTGTCGAAGTACACTGCTGAGGGGAGCAGCGAGCGGGTCAGGAAAGGTCTGCCACGCCATATGGATCACCTCCTGGGCAGATAGGGATCTAACTCATGTGGAAATGGCTTTAGCTTCTTGGTGCAGTGCTTTAACCCGCTGTGCTACCCGGGAGGGCCTCCAGGCTTTAGTTTTAACCTGTACCTGTGTGTGTTATCAGCTGGGCTCAGACTCCACCCTTCAGAAAGACACCTACCAGCAACTCTAATCATGTAGACTTCTTGCAGTTTCTCTGTTACAATTAAGTTACTATAGATCCCCTCCCCACTACAAAAGAAAATATTAAGAATTTCTAAGAGTGGGTGTATAAATAAAAGTCCAACATCTACTAGATAAGTAAAGGCTTTAAATATCTTGAACATTCATTTTACCACCCACAGGGACCAGGAGAATCATTTGACTTCACAGATTCTGTGTTGAAATGTCTTTTTTGCCTCCATAACTTTATTCCTTCATGTCCTAGAGACAGTATTTTGGGGACATACTCTCTCTCATTAAGGAGCATGCAAAAAGTCAGCTAGATATTCATCTAAAGAACTTTAATAATTCTTTAGGTCTCATTGGTATTGCAACAATTCATCTTTCATCTCATGTTACCCAGTATTACTATCATTTTGTTAACCAGTCAATCCCTATGGGATTCTCTGTCAAGGAAAATTTTAAGACTACTGGTAAACCAAAGATTACTAAAGAACATATCATTACTAAACCCTGGGTGGGAAAAGGTTAGTTCCATTTTGTTCTTCTCCTATCATATGAACTTTTTTGTCCATGCTATATCCCATAGGAAAATGTAGGTCATGAATGTGTTTGATCAAAAATAGTATAGGTTACCTATGAGGGCTGTCTATTTTCTTATATAATTTAAAGTATAGATGTGTAAGCATACAAGACTAGAGCAATGCTCTTTGGTATCATTGAGGATTCAGGTTCTGTCATCTTTTTTCTGTGTGGTGTTATCTCCATAGCCAAAAAAAATGTTTCCTTCACCTTGAGAAACTATGACAATGCTGGAGGAGGACACTAGAACACAGAGTTGTATTGGCTACTTATGACTTTTTTTTTAATAAGGAAGCAAAATTTCCTCAGAACTCTCTATTTCAGGTGACCACTTTCTACATCTTGTTGGTCAGGCTGTGCCCAACAGCCAACTTTATCATAAAGAGAGTTCTAAACTTTCTACTCTATAAAAGAGGAAGCCAGACGAGGATCATAATGTGTGGTAGTAGCTACCACAGACCACAGCATAATGCTTCTTAGTAATCAAAATCATTAGTTCCATGGTCTTCTCTTGACAAAATATCTCTCTCTTTCCTCTATTCAACTGTTACTATGCCAGGCCTACAAAGATCTTTTCCAACTCTTAAAACATGTCCACTGACCCTGGGATATACTGTTGAGCACCATGGTCGCATGTTAACTCAAAGAACAGTCCCTGGGCCCAGTCTCCTGCTGTTGAATAATTACGGATTATATACAAAGTCTTACTATTATATATAGTTAGGAAAATCCAGGCCCCCCAGGACAGGGATGGAGGCTTGATTGGGACAGAGATTTCTGAGCTCTAGGTGATCTGCTCAAGTATCATCACATAGAAAGGCTACATAAAATCATCCATGAGACATACCAACCCTCCCCCTGTTTGTCCCACCTATGAGTCTCCTTATAATCCTTATAATTATCTCTTTGGTTCTTTGATCTCTGGTGTGATATTTAATCCTTGCTTATTTTTTTTTTTTTATGTTTACAATTTGTTTTGCTGTGTGGGGCGCAACATGCAGTATATTTTTGGATTGATTTTCTATGAATCTTTAACTTTCTGAAGGGATTATAGCTACTAATGACTCTAAATTGGTAGATCCTAAAGCAATAGGGAAAACAGTCAAATTCTAGCTAAACTACTGCTCTTTTATATTCAGGGATATACCAATATCTTGGAACATATGACACAATCTATGAACTGCTCAATATTTCTTCTTGAAGATTTTAAACCTTCCTTAGAATACTTTCCTCCTTCCTATTGACCTTAGTGTTCTGCAGGTCTCTGTCCATTTGCACATTATTAGTATCCCAAAGCCGTAAACCCACTGTGGCCATGCAGGGTCCACTCCAGCTCAGTTCTTATTGAAAACAGGGCTTTTGCTGATATGAGCACCACAAGCTCCCCCTTAGTTTATAAAGCTCCCGAAACACCTTTTTACAAGGGAAGAGACTCAAGTTCATAAAAGGCATATTCTGCTCCTAAACATTCTCAATAACTGAAAGTTAACCGATTCTTTGAAACATTCTTTTTTTCAGAAAAACAATTCATGGATTTAAGAGATCTGGAATGGAGATATTATAAGGGGGTTGTAAAGTGGCAGCGCAATACTTCAGATTCAATCACAGACATTAAATACAGCAGGGAGAAGAGATTTGTGGAGAGCCAGCAGATGCCTGGTGAGATTTTACCCCCTCTGGTCCATAAGTCTTTGATCATTTATCCTCAGGTTGATTTTCTAAAGGTACCATCATCCTCTTAAATGGAATGTATAATCTACTTTGTTTTTGAGAGTGTTGAATAGATAAATGGGAAAGGGCCATGGAGCGAAGGAACTGAGTCTATAAAATACGCATATAAGGTACAAAGTTAAACCATTAATATGGAGTAGAAGAACCAAACTGACCTGCTAATATGTGACCTATTTTCATATGAAGAAGTGCAATATCATAGAAATAATGGTAAATTCAAGAAATGGAGGAATCAATGCATAAGGATATAGAGAGACAACAATCTTTGAGAATGTTAACTTCTCAAAGACTTAAAGAAGGAAATAGGATCTTTGAAATATGAAAACTTGAAAAAGAACAAATTGATAAGCTTGGAAAGAGTAAAATACAGTTAATGAAAATAAAATAATAATGACAATGATTCTTAATAAATTATCTCAAAAGCATGTTTGATATATCTGAAGAGGACTAATGAGTTGGAAGAGAACACTGAGAAAGAGATTTCCACATTATAGCACGAAGAGAACACTGAGAAAGAGATTTCCACATTATAGCACAATAAGGAAAAGGAAGAAAACAGGAAAGAAGGAGACATTCATAAATAAACCGAGTGAAACTGTAATATTTTTAATATTTAAAAAATAATGAAGAAATATGCAGAACACTGAATTTACAAATTTCACTGAGTGATTAGCAGGAAAATAAAAATAATTCTGTATCTGGAAACACCAGAACAAAACATATTGATAAAAAAAGGAGTACTTTTTTGTTCAACTTTGGAAATAACTAGGGCATCATCAATACCTCAATAATCTGCATGTTTCATGAAAATGAGGCCCGTAAACTTAGTCCTCTGCAGAGTGGTGACCAGATGAGACATCTTTGCTGTAGGACACAGATATAAATGTTATCACTTAAGGGTTCTCAGCACCAGCACGCCACTTGGACTCTTCACACTTGTGATAAATTGCTTTCAAATTCAACTCATTATGAAATTGGAAATTTATTGTGCCCATTTTGTTTTGCATTTCCCTTAATTTCTGTTTCTAGAGTCGTAATGAAATCCACCTGTATCATATTTTAAAATAAAATTAGGGCCTGCAGATGCATCTGGAATTTCATTATTGAAATTCCAGAATACATAATGAGGATTCTATGATGATATGAATGTAACAGTCTGCAAAATTACTGTGGGAAAACTGATGCTTGAATGATACAATCATAAGGTGAAAATAAGGGTAGTAGTTCTGAATTCATGTGGCTTTGATTATTAAGAGGAAATGAGCCAATTAAAAAGGAACTGTTGGAGGTCTCTTGCCAGGTCCCATAAACAAAACAAATAATCTAGTCACTGTCATGTCTGACAACAGAAATGGGCATGGTGATCTTGAGGGAATTATGTCATTAGAGGGATAGGATGGTAATAAACCAGACCTTTTGGTGAGACTAATGAAAGCATTAGAATACACAGATATAGAAGGAAGACAGCAAAAATCTATTACTCTAAAGCTTGGGGATTTTAAGACAACAACCTAGTACTCTGGTGTTCCCACTGAAAATGTGGTGACTTTTATTTAGAAGCCTCCCCCTCAGTAACACCCAGGCACTCTGTTTGGCCCATCTAAAAGCTAACCCTTTTGTTGATGGGCCCTTATGGTCTCTGAATAGTAATGAGGATGATGGTTACTTATTTCGAGTTTAGCTATTTATGAAAAATAATCTTGACCTACTGTATTAAGACAGCTCTGCTGCTTATTCAAATACACTAGCAAATGCGCATACTACTTTATTCATTTACATTATCCATTCATCCACCATAACTAAGAAATGACCACTGACCCCGAGTGCAGGGAGATGGACTGAAAGTTGAATTATCAGCTTATCTAGACAAAGAAGTGACTGATAAATGTCCTCCCCTAAGAAAGGAAGAGATTTAAGTTTGACATGACTAAATATTCCATTAAAGTCAATAAATCTGTTTTCATTAAAAAAAAAAAGGAAGGAAGAAAGAAAATACATGGTCTATAGCTGAGGAAGAATCAGTTAATACCGCGCCTTCTGGGGTGTATCTTGGCAATGACCCTGGCAGTCTCTGTCGGTACCTACTCTAACAATACTCTCCCGACATAATAAAATACACAAGTACAGAAGAGTGATGTGAAGGCAGAGCTTCATTCTAAAGCTGCTGTGGGTGGGAGAATAGAGACCAAAAGAAAAAGTTAACCGAAGGCTTGGGTGAGGAAGGTGCTGATCCTGTCTGTCATTTTGTGGGTGAAACAGCTTCCTGACACCCTCTTGAATTATTTTTATTTAATATTCACTGTGCTAAGTAACATGGTCTGTATTTATTAAACAAACAAACAAAAATACCCCAACAATAGAAAAAAGAATGTAGAAGATATCTCTAGGGTCAGTGAAAAACTAGTTTTCTCAGAGCTTCTCAGACCGTTTTTCACAGTAACCTTCCAGCACACGTGGCGTATGTAGTAGGCGACCCGTAGGCTGGGCAATACCCCCCACGTCGGCGGAGCAGTAAATGTCCACGTAGTCTTGGCAGACCCAGCACTGGTGTGTCTATAAATCATATGAATGCTAATAGGGCTCCTGGGTGGGCCGTTGAGCCCTGTGCTGACTGAACACCACTGTGGCTGTTGTGGGGGGTGGGGCGTGGGAAGGCCAGGCCTGAGAAGGCCTGAAAGTGCTTCCCAGGGACATAGGTGTTACGATACTGCTGCCTGTACTTGGCTCCTGCTGATATAAGAGACAGGTTATCCAGCTGGGATTTCTTGACCCGTTCGCTCGCTGCTGACATCATGGAGCCCTGCACTCTGAGCTGGCCTTCCACACAGTGTCACGGCACTGAGAAGGGGGAATTCTCCAAAGACGCTGTTGACTGGAAAAAGCAAAGTGCAAAAAAGTATATATGGAAAACTGTGTTTTGCATTCTTTTTTTCTTCTGTTGGGTTTTGGTTTTGTTTTGTTTTGTTTGGCTTTTAGTTGATAGAGACCATGTTACTTAACACAGCAAATATTAAATGAAAAAGGTAAAAAAAAAAGATATACATATGCTATCTTAAAAAGGGAAAATGGATGTAAGAAAAAAGCTTTTCGAAAATTAAAAAAAAAGGGGAAATGGGAAACTCAGTGAGAAAACAATGGGACTGATTGGCTAGAGGAGGTCAGGAGACACAGGGGTGACCACCATGAGAGGGAGTGTGCTGGCTTTGGGGAACTTTTTAATGTTTCATGTACTGTTGAAATAAAATTAAAGATGAGCACTATATAAAGCTAAGCAATCTAAAAAAATGAACTCAGTCATAACCGGCAAATTCCTTAACTCCACTGGAGAGGAACAGAAGAAACTAACACAGCTTGGTGAAGTAGGAAGACTACAGGTAAGCTGAGTCCTTGTAGTAGCCTTGTTTTTTTACTGATGTGGATGAAGCAACCTAGAGTGTTGTGTATTTTCTGTCCTTTTTTTACTGTGCATTTTCAGAGCTAGACATTCTCTGAAATAACCACAGAAGTTATCGTCAGTAAATTTACTTGTAATGCAATACATTCATCTAGTGTCCATTTCTACTCTCTTTTGTTGACTCAGCAAGTCAATAGTTTTTTTAGACTATCTCCTGCATAGGATTCGCGTTAGGATCTCATGCATTATGTTTAGCTGTAATACATCTTTAATCACCCTTAATCTGGAATATTTCCACAGTCTTTCTCTGTTTTTAAGGCATTATCTTTTTTAAAAAACTTTTTCTTAGTTGTAATTTTTAAAAAAGATTTATTTATTTATGCATACAGAATTGAGGTACAAGCCAGGGGTTCACGGGCAGTGAGAGGATTCACCAGAGACAGAGTGGGGAGCAGAACAGACAGATCGACAAGGTTCACTGCTGAGGGGAGCAGCTGGCCAGAAAGGAGAGGTCTGCCTTACCGGCTGATGACCTCCTGGGCAGGGGATCCAATTCGCACAGAAGCGGCTGCGGCCAGCTTGCAATGCTGCGTCCTAACCCGTTGCGCCACCAGGAAGGGCCAAGACATTATTATTTTAAAAGAAAAATGTGTTTATCACTGTGGATCTGTTTGGTGTTAGTTACTTCAAGATTGGATTCAGGTTGTACATTCTTGCCATCACCCCTGGAGGTCCACAGCATCCACCTGTCCCTCCCTGTGATGCAACCTTGAGCCATGTGATATTGCTTAATTTCTCCACTGTGTAGTTACTGTATTTCCTGCTGGAGCCCCCAAGAAACTTCCATATCTACAGTTCATCAAAATTTCCCTAGATTTAGCATGGCTGACTTTCCCTAAAGCAATATTTATAATCGTAGCTATAAAATGACAATTTAAAAAATAATGTTTATTTTTACATCATTTTGTGCATTTTTTCATCTCAGTTGTAATCCCCGTGGGCTTCCCATCACCAAATCACCCATCACTGTAGTCCAGTGCATTTCCCTCCCAGCCACTGTTTTTGATCCCATTCCCCGCTCCACCCCCACAAAATATCTCTGGTATATAGCTGTTTATCATTATCATTATTTTCTTGTCTGTTCTGTTATATTCCTGCTATGAGAGAAACCATCCGGTATTTTTCCTTTTCTTTCTGGCTTATTTCACTAAGCATGACCTTCTCCAGCTCCATCCATGTTGCTGCAAAAGGCATGTGTTTCTTTCTTTTTTTTTTTTGGTTGCTGAGTAATATTCCATTGTGTATATGTACCACATCTTTTTAATCCAGTCAGCTACTTTTGGGCATTGGGACTGTTTCCATGTCTTTCCAATTGTAAATAAAGCAACAATAAACATGGGGGTGCAGGTGTCTTTTTGAATCAATGTTTTTGTGTCTTT